AACGAGGCGAGAGCCAAAAAGAAATCTATAATTTTAGCAAGTTCACTACATGATTCTTTGAAAAAAAAAAGTACTAAAAATTAATAAATATTTTTAAATGTAAAAAATATTGAAATATAAAGAAGTTATTAAAAAACAGGTTTATGTCTATTAAAGGACTTGGCAGCAGTAATATAGGGTCAAACGCTGGCTAGTTAAACATCACAGTAGCAAGTGTGGTTGTGTGTTTATACCAAAATATGGAAATACTCTTGATATCATTATAGAAGTGCTGCCTGTTTGTGGTAGGGTAGTGCTCAGAATCATGGTTTGAGGCTACCAAGAATTAAAGATGACAGAGGACCCCATAAGACTTCTCAGATTGGGGTCAGAGGACAACCTTCCCCAGAATCTTTAGTTCTCTTATATGACTTGGTGCCACCACTATGACATTCCCTCAAAACAGAGAGAGCGCATCACAGGCTTTGCTGAACTTGGTCTGACTTGCATACCATCAGTGGCAATATGTGCCTCCGGTGAGCAGATTAATAGGCCTAAAGCAGCTATCAAACATAGCACAGCAGAGATGATTCCTACCACCCAGCTGTACGGGTTATCCATAATGTGAATCCTCACAGTGAATCCTAATGATAAAAAATGAATATCATTTTATATTTTAAAACTCTAGACAGAAACCATGAGTGATTTTTTCCCTGGAGAACCAACTAATTAAAATTGTAAATGAGGCTGTTATATGTTTCCGTGTACTCCTGTGAGTGTCTTTTTTTATGAAGAACTAGAACATGGGTGACTACATGGTTATTCTGTTGCATATTACAATCCAACACTACTTCTGTCTGCCTACACGCCCATCAGAGAAAAAAGCCACATTCAGGGGAAGGAGAATTTGTGAAAAAGGCTTTTATAACATAAAGCAGAATTATGAAAGAGGAAGGGGGCCTCCCCGGTGGCGCAGCGGTTGAGCGCTGGGTTGCAAAGATGCCCACAGCCTCTGCAGTGCCGGTTCCATCCCCAGCTGCTCCCTGGCCACCAGAGGAGGGTCCCACATGGTGCGCAGACCTCTCCTGGCGCCCGCTGCTCCCCTCAGCAGTGTACTTCGGTCCTTCTGCCTGCTCTGCTCCCCGCTCTGGCTCTGGTGAATTCTCTCACCCTCCTGCACTTCTGACTGTACCCAGTGCTTGTATAAATAAATAAATAAATCTTTTAAAAAAAAAAAAAAGAAAGAGGAAGGTCCAGACAGCTCGGGTAACCTGGCTTTTTGAGGCACTATAAGAAGCCAGAGACTATTTTCCTACTAGGTGGTTGTTGTTACTATTACCATTTGAAGATCAAAAGAAGGGGATCCCCAGTGGGAAGCGCAAAAAACATGTTAAGAAAAAAAGCTAAAAACCAACCAATTTTAATCTTTTTCTTCACAATTGCTCAAGCACTATAGTCCCTAGGGTATCACCCCCACATTCTTGATGTATTAATAATTGATGGCCTTTAGTGGTAACAATTCACAGACAAAACTTAGGAAATTTATAATTTTTCCTTCAAGACTTAATAATGTGCAACTATTTCTCAGTAATGATCACCCTAGCTGAGTTTGGTTTCTGACCACTATGTAAAACTAGACATGGGAAAACAAAACTTAAAAAATAGTTAAGTTTTTTATATACTGATCGTTTTCATTTATAGAACAATATACCCAGGGTTTCCTTAAATTGTAAGTTCTTTAGTATGTTAGAGTTAATTCAAAGATCATCAATTACCATCAATAAATGGATAGAGAACGTGAAGTCAAGCGGTCAACTGAAAAATATATTTGACACCCCTTACTTAAATTGAGTATCATAGCATTCCCTGCTCTTTCAACTTAAGACTTGTTGGTTTGAAATTACATGTTAATTTGTGAGATTAGTATCTATCTCTCCACAGGATCCTCTATGGGACAAATCATCTCTGCTTTGTTCACTGTATGTCCACGTCCAGCACAATGACTGATCCATAAGTATTTACTGAATAAGTGATGAAGTCATGAGGTTCTTGGGATCTTTATTTGTGGAGGTTGACTGGTAGGCTTTAGGAATCCCTTGCATCCCCTGAAATTGTCCATAAAAATGTGTGGGTGTATATATACAAAATCACACACACATATCTCGGGCAAGAGGGCTTTCAACATAGAGTTCCAAAGGGTCTCTGACCTCTCCCAAAAGTAAGGCCTCACTGACCTATTTCAGTAGTAACACAGGATTTAATACCAAAGAAACACAATGTGCTACATGTAGCTATATGCCGGCAGATGTGTGGGTATATGTATAGGTGTGTGTATAATTTCCAAGAACAGAAATAGAAATGCCCCCGTGAATTTACGGAACAATCCACATTCCCACGTCCTCAGAGGAACTGATCATTCCTATAGTCATTGGGCCCCAGCAGTAGCTGCTTGCATTCATCTGTTTCTTGGCAGCAACATCCATCACTCAGGCCAGAGAAAAGGAGTCTGTAATTCCCTCCTTTCACCTGCTTGAGATGCTGACACCCCTCTTTGTGGAAGTTCCTTTTAATAACAAACCTGTAAACCTCCCGGTTAACAAAGGCATGGGCTGCATTTATAAAGCTCCCGTGCTCAGGCAATTTGATCAAACAACCATGGGATTTCCCTTTCCTCATTCTACAGCCAGAGAGGAGATCCAGCTTAGACTAAAGAGGCCTCACATGGGCATTCACAGAGGTGGGAGACTAGGCTGGGCTGGAACAGACTAATTGGCTGTGCTGTATTAAATCTCTTCTTCCCTCTCTCACAACTCCAGAAGATGCTTCCTTTCAGTAAATTTCCACCCCAGCTTTTGTCCTGAAAATGGACACTTCAAAAGTAAATTTGTCAGAGGAAGGGTTTTTGATGTATCATTATTCCTCAGTTATCCATATTAACACAGAAGATCAGTGGTGCAGATAATTCAAAGCCAGAGGCTCTTTCTATTTAGCTTTCTAGTTCACTGTTTTGAAGAACTTGGAGGCACAGACTTCCCTAGTTATGTTTGTCTTTGCTTTTTATTAAAACAAGTTTGTCTGCTTGAGGGACAGGCAGTTGGGTGACTGAAGATTCTAACACAGAATTTGTAAATTGTAAGGGAAACAAACCCACAAGGTGCACAGAGAGTCAAACTGGACTAGATTTGAATTTACATTCTTAATCAATTGTGATCAATTGCTTTGCTCCTCTGTGACTACAGTGAGTCAGGGGTGAGACATAATTATAGGAGATGAGTTGGAGGGGAATGGGCCTTTATAAGAACACAAGACTGTTGTGGCTAAAATTGATAACAAAATTGATGTTGATGTTTTCCCTGCCTGATCCCATAATCTTCTATTCTGCAACCAGACTTTTTCTTTCTATGGAAATCACATTCTGTTCACCTCTACCTTCTACCCTGTCATGGCTCCCTGTGCCAGTCATGTGGGCTATTCACAAACATCCCACTCTCTTCTCCCCAGGGTGTGGATGTGTTGGCTAATGAAATGTGAGCTAAAGTGGTTCATGCACCTTCTACTTGGGAGGTTTCGGAGCCAGCATACACTTGGCTATTTGTGTTGTCTGCCAAGATGACTGGCAGCATCTGAGACAGTGGCTGCTCTATCAGTCTGGGTACCTGAGTGACTGTGATGAGCTTGCAGAAGGAGCAAGAAATAAGTGTCTGTTGTTTTAAATTTAACACTGAAATGTTAAAGTTAACTCAGTATATCTCTATGAACAAGCTACTCCAAATTGGCTGGATTATCTCTCCAACAAGACACTGAACAACTTGAGGCCAGAATTACTCCTTCTGGCACATTAAGTCCAATGCATAGCATGTTGAAATCAACTTGCTAGAAGATTAAGTTCTCCTCCATCTTGGCCTGAGTCATGTTTATCTAAATTTGCATCATTCACAGAATCACCTGCTGAAATGATAAGGCATCTTTGTTGTTCAGATATATGGGAAATGGTGGAACATTCTTTTGGACCAGTAGTACAAGCAGGAAGCACTGGCAAAAAATGGAGGGGTGTCATGGCACACTTAGGCTGTAGGCATTTCAAAAATACTGGTTTCAAGAGATGGACAAGATTTTGAAATGAAGTCTTGGGGTGACCACATGGAGGATACAGTATCCCAAAATGTTAGGTTTATGAGGTATTATCTACATCATCAACATCATTATAATACCAATATTTACTGATAATTTACTATGAATCAACCAATTTCACTATGTAAAACTCCAATCTCTTTCTCTCAATGAATCCTCATAGCAACTCTATAAGATATTATTTCCATTTTAAGATGAAGAAACTAAAGCACAGAGAGGTAAATTGCCACAACCACACAGCTAGCAAATATCTCTTTCTGAGTTCAGTGCCTGAACACTCCCCTTAACAAGGGGCTCACTAACTCCCAAATACATGACCTGCCTCTCTTTGCAGCAGCCATCCCCTGGACAGCTGTCTCCTAGGGCAACACAAAGCAATTCTTCTTTCCTCTGTCCAAGCAGCCTTTCTCACATGTTTGAAGTTAGCAATCATATGTCTCTTAAGACTCTCTTTTCCGATCTAAACAGCCCTAATCACTCAACTGTTTTCAGCGTGCCATACTCTGAGGCTCCTCACCATCCCAGCTCAGTGACTCACACACGCTAGGGGCACGAAAGTGCTGGTTAAGTCAGCAGAGTGGAACTGGTGACTATCCCTTCCAGTCTTGTGCTGAGTTCATACCTTCTATGACCCTAGCACATTCCTTTCACCATGTGAAGCAGGACCTGAAGGCAGAAATGGGGCCATGATCTGCTGTAGGAACAGCTGGCTGGCCATGTGTCCTGCAGGGGTCCACATGCCGGCAAACGAAGTATTAAAGACACAGCAAGTTCAGAGTTCCTCCTTCTTACTCAAGTTGGAAGCTTCTGCCCCTCCCTCTTGCACCCCAGTTGCTCCTCTCACCACTGGCCTGTCCCCAGAGGCAGTGATGAGAACAGCCTCCACTCACCATGGAGTTCATGGCAAAGTGGTTGTGTTGCGTCTGGAGGTCTAGGGCATGTTGGTAGCTGACTCCGATCTCTGTATGGCTCTGGAGGAATAACTCCTTGTTGTGGCTTATCCAGTCAAACATCTAGAAGAGACAAAAAGGTACAGAGGAATCAGAAGGGTAATAGATTCACCAGCACAAAGTTTCAGAGCTCCTGGAACTAAAAAGAGTCCTCCTGTGGGTACCAGTGAGAAGCAATCATTTTTTCAAGAGTCAGGGTGGCTCACAACCTGATTTTCCAGGTAAGTCCTCACTTTTAGCCTAAGTACACACCATCGGCCTTTGTTTTTCCATAGATTCTAAGGGGAACAGAGGAATCAGTAAGAAACTCAGGAAAATGGGGGAGAAAGCTGTCGACCATCCCTTGCTACTTTCTCTTTGTAAAAACCTTCAGAAAGGTTTGAAAGGCCATATGCTTACTTTAGGGACAGGTGCTAAGGGAACAAGTCTATGGGGAGTTTTATCCATTACCTAATGCACTAGGAGAGGAGAGAAACCCTTCTTGGAAGGAAAAGAGCACCTAGCATGCCCCTATCCCACTTACACACTGCCTAGTCACACACACTTGTTGAATTGACTCTGAGTTCAATCAACTTTTCTTGTAATTCCACAGCCTCACAACAGCAGGGTCTCTGCTATAACCCATCAGAAACCAGAAAAGGAGGATTTTAAGGGTAGAATAAATACTGCCTGGCACAGCAGGCACTGAGTTATTTTCCTTGCCTAGACTCTGCATCTGTACCCACTGCTCCCCAGGGCAGCATGTACACTTTAAGGGGAGCTGCCCAGTTCCAGGGGAAGGCCTGATCACTCTAAGGGTTATCCCTCCTCAGGACACCAGATCTCAATCAAGCAGTTCACAGAATTTCCCAGTCAATGGGGCTGTCTCAGAAATAGCAATATTACTGAATTGCATATAATGAAACGGGAAGTTTATTTAGAAGCTTCTGGGAAACAGAACCCTAGTTCTTCAGATATGACTTCTCTTTCTCTGATGCTGCCATTATGACCCAGAACCTCATATTTCTGCAGTTATTCTGCTGGCAGTTGAAGGGTGAAGTCAACTGGCAGAAAAAGGGAGCAGCCAAAACACTGACAGGAAACAGAGCCCTGATTGAGCCTTGCCTGATGTCCACCTTGTCGCTGGACTTCCTTAGTACCTGAGCCAAGCAACCCCCTTATACATTCAAGCCAGTTTAAGCTGCATTTCCTATAATTTACTGCTCAGAGCTGATATAGCATGGGAAGGTGTGAAACCTTTGGAGAAGAGTTCTGCTACACTTGGAACTAATGTGCCATAGTTTAGGATAGGCTACAGGCTCAAGTGCGGAGTAGAGCCAAGGGCAGTTAACCACAGGTGTATGTTAACAAACTGAACAGATCACACCAGCTTTCATGAAGGCAGAACTGCAGCCTCATTCCATTATTTCCCTTTAAAGAGAGAGGTGAATTTACTTTTTCAGCTATATTCAGCCAATATTTATGGGATACTCACTATGTGCCCGGCACTGTCCAAGACAACAGAAAGGCAAAAATGATTAACATGTAGTTCATGAGTTAAGAGGTTTAAAGGCCAGTATGATAAGGAGACATGGATTCAGATAGAACTTTAGTACAACTTGAAATATGACTTGATTAAAATTACGCCTCAAAAAATGGCTGTTGAGATAGGGGCCAATATGTGCTATTAAAGTTGTGCAGAGATAGCTTCCACTCTGGATGGCATTGGGATGGGGAAGAATAGAAGCCGCTAAGAGAAGGTGACACCTGAGTTGACCTTTGACTCAGGCAGGAATTAGCCAAGTGAGGATGAGAGGGATGTGAGTTCCATGCAAAAGGGGCGTAACCATGGGGCAGCCCAGGGAGGAGCTCTGACAGAACGAACTACAGCTGTGCTTCTGGAGTCTGATATATGAGGAGATGTGGCTGGGGAGTGGTGGAGGAAGCTGACTCTATCAGGCCTGGACACAGGCTTCAGGAAACCTGGACTAAATTCTGTTGTAGCAAGCTGTCAGTGGAAGGTTTTAAACCAAGTAGTGAAGTGTAATGTAAGCTTTGAGAACTGTGTGGGATTTGAACTGGAGGGGGCAAGACAAGGCAGACAAAATAGTAAAGAGGCTGTTAAAATAATCCTGGTGAGGAAGGGTGAGAACATGGATAACTGGACTAGGGATGTGGCAGTGGAGTCAAGAAGCAGGCAGTCTTGAGAGCTTCTAGGACCAGCATTGAGGATTCAATTATTTGGTTAGTAAAAGGTGAAGAACTTGGCAGAAAAGCCAGGTGTCTGGCATGACACCCTGAGTTGTGTAATAAAAAGTCCTACCTCTAAGGTTGGTGAGGCTGGGGAGAGAGTGGGCTATGTTTTTGATGTGCTGAAATTGCGAGATTAATCAGTTTCAAGCAGAGGGGTCCGGTGGGCAGTTAGATTAATTTATCTGGAGATTAGAGACATGGAGACTGTGACAACTCACACTTAAGTATAAAAACATCACCTCCCAGAGGCAAGTTTGCAAGATTTGGAGATGACTCTCCCTTTTGAATTATGCAGATCACTCCTGGCAACCGACATTGATAATAAAGGATGAACGCATTAGGCTTCACTTTTGAGTGTCAGAAGTGGTTTCAGGCTAGGAGCTGCTGCAGAGGCTGTCACTATGTGTGGTGTGCATTACCCTGGACCTGCTAGCCACAGTCTGTCCCACATCTCAGGTACTGCAGGGATGGGAGAAAGCTTCTTTCCTCTTCTTAATGTTAAGGACAAGGAGGAAGAAGGCAAGTGTCCCAGGAGTTTAAAGGAATCTAATTCTGTAATTTTTGATCTTTAAAATTCCATCTTTGTTAGCCTAGCCAGAGGTTTATTAGTTTTGTTATCTTCTCACAGAACCAACTCTTAGTTTCACTTATATTTTTGTAGTTTTCTCTAACTCCATTTCATTGATTTCCATTCTCATTTTTATTATTTCCTTCCTCCTACTAACTTTAGTTCTTTTTTATTCCATTTTCCAAGTTGCATTAACTGTAATATTAAGTTGTTTATCTGGGATTTTTCTTGTTTCTTACTGTGGGCCTGTATTACAATTGTCTTCCCTCTTAAGACTGCTTTGCTACATCTTACAGATTCTTTCTAGTAGCTTGTACCTTTGATTTCATTATTCTCAAGATTTTTTTATTTAAGTTCTTTAATCCAATGGCCATTAAGCAACATATTGTTTAGTCTTCAGTATTTATTGTATTTCATTGTTTTTTTTTTTAATAGTTGATTTCTAGCTTTATGGTATTATGGTCAGAAAGAGTAATAGTTATGATTTCAGTTTACATCGTTTTATTGACTCATGTCCCAACATACAGTCTATACAGTCTATTCTTTTTTTTTTTTTTTGTGGGGCCCTCGCCAGTGGCCAGGGAATGAACCGGCGCCGCAGAGGCTGCCGGCAGCCTCGCCGCCCAGTGCTCAACCACTGCGCCACCAGGGTAGGCCCATACAGTCTATTCTTAAATACATTCATGTGCACTGGGGGAAAAAATGTATATGCAGCAGTTTTTGGTAGAGTGTTTTGTAGATGTCTGTTAGGTCTTATTGGTCTAGCTCTTCATTTAAGGCTATTGTTTCCTTATTTAGTCTCCATCTTATTGATCTATCTATAATTATAAGTGGAATATTAAACTACCTTAGTGTTACTATGTGGGAGGAACTGTACACCTCATTGAGTAGGCTTCTCATGGAATAAATTCTGTAGCAAGCCATTCTATCTAAATTCAGGTTCCACCTTAAGCACGTTAGCTGCTCTGTGGTGGCTGGGCACTGAGCTGGATTGGAGGCAATGCTCCAGAGAGGTGATATGTCTGAGGCACATAGAAAATGACCTGCTCTGGGGACCAGATGGTCTTAGGTGATTCAGGAAGTAGGATGTCTCCAACACGGTTTTTCAAATATAAAAAAGAAGAAAGCAAACAATAAAAAATGGAATTAGAAATTAAAGAGGAGAAATGACCACAGACGGCATAGAAAGTCAAAGAATCATAAGACATTACTGTGAACAACTGTATGCTGACGAATTCAATAACCGTGAAGGAATGAACAAATTTCTAGAATAATATAATTTACCAAGAATAAACCAAGAAGAAATAGAGAAGTGAATAAATTGATCACAATCATGGAAACTGAAACAGCCATGAAAAATCTGGTCAAAAAAATAAAGCCCAGAGCCAGCTGGCTATAAAATGAATTCTACCAAACCTATAAAGAAGAACTTATACTCATCTCACTCAAATTTTTCTATATACACAAAAAGAGAGAATGCTGCCCAATACATTTTACAATATATTACAAGGATTATACATTATGATCACATGGTATTTACTCAAAGGAGGGAAGAATGGTTTAATATACATAAATCAATATAATATATAAAGTATAGTAATGATAAAAATCATGATAACATCAATAAATGCAGAAAGCATTTTATTATGATAAAATCTATAAATAAGGTAAAGGAAGTTAACTCATTGTAATAAAGACTTGGTATATCTGACAAGGTATTATGTCAAAAAAATTATATCTATTATACCAAAGACTAGGTATTATGACTAGGTATTATAATAGATATGTCACAAACCTATTGCCAACATAATACTTAATGGTAAAAACTGAAAGCATTCTCTTTAAAATCAGAGACAAGTATACTCACTGTCACACTTTGGCTTAGTTTAGTATTGTAGGCTTTAATCAGACAACAAGAAATAAACTCCATGCACAAGATGGAATTCAAGATGGAAAAGAAGTAAATTGTAATATTTCTATATTTGTAATATTTCTATATTTGTACAAATTTGTAATATTTCTATATTATAGAAAGCTCTGAAGACTCCACCAACATGGGAGTGCAAACTGGTCCAACCACTATGGAGAGCTGTGTGGAGATTTCTTGACCAACTAAACATAGAGCTTCCATATGATCCAGCAATTCCACTCCTAGGTATTTACCCAAAGGACACAGAAACATCAATTCCAAAGAGCACCTGCACCCCTATGTTTATAGCAGCACTGTTTACAATAGCTAAGCTTTGGAAACAACCCAAATGCC